TGTCCATGTGGCTACCAATCGCAGAAACTTAAGCGTATAATTATGTCCTGCTCTTCATGATAAAATGGAAATGGAGAGATTTAGAGAAAAGCCAAAGATCGGTCCTACGAAGCTATGATAAAAATCCTGGCGATATCAAAAGAATAACACAGTGTATCCTAACTAAAGGTTGGATTAAGGAATTCCAGGTGATAAAGGCCTTCGAAATGCTGATGAGAAAGAGGAACAGGTCAAGCAATTCTTGGGGTCGACATAATTGGAATACATGTGAGAAACATATTCCAAGCGTGTCTAGATCATGGGTAATTTCCAATAGGGTTATGAGCCGCAGAAGTAGTCCAGCTTCCAAAGCCAGGAAGAGATCTATCCACTCCTTAGGGGTGGTGGCCCATCTCTCTTCTCTCTTGCCAAGGTAGAGGATTAAGACATATCTCAGCCAAAAGAATGGCGTGGTTAGTTATCGAGCACCAAGTAGTTCCCCAACAACTTTTTGGTGCACTACCTAGACGTTCAGCTATCGATCTTGTTTCCTTTGTAATTCACGACGACGAGGCAACAACGAGGAACAACAAAGTCACAGCTATGGTAACGATGGATGTGCAAAGAGCCTTTGATACGGTACTTCAAAAGCGCCTATTGCGTAGAATTCAGGACCAGGACTGATCGAATATTTTATGCCGATTTGTTGAGTCTTTTCTAACCCGGCGTAGAATTCGTGTTCGCCATCAGGATGGAATAACGTACGACAAAAAAGTCGAGTGCGGTGACCCCAGGGCTTACTACTCCTAACACTCCTTTTCCTCCTATGTATTGCCGTTTTATTTCAAGACGGAAAAGGAAAAAGATTCGGATACGCTGACGATATCACCATCCTCGGCATAGGACGCACTACCACCGAAGCTATTTCATCGGCTTAAGGACAGTAAGACAGACTCATCTAAGTGACAGAAGAGCACAAGATCAAATTTGATTCAGCCAAGTTAGAGCTTCTAATAATAGGTGGTGGGCCATGGAAAAAGTGAACACTTCAGGTCTCACAGTTCAGATGAAAGGTCTTTATGTTTCCCCATCCCTATTTGTGAGATGGCTTGATTTCCAGCTGAAATTTAAATAACACGTGCAAGAACAGTGCAGAAAAGCACAGCTTGTAGCTCAGTTGAAACGTCGGATTTATACTGTTGAGCGTGGTGTAGCACCGGGACCGCTGATTAAAGCTATCCATGCCTGTGTCCTCAGTACGGCTCTGTATGGAACGGAGAAACGGAGGAATGGTGGCCTGGCTTAGCCAGTATTACCACTCGGCGGGACAAAATAGTTAGCACCGACGATGGCTGGCATATTGATCTACTGGACAAACACTAGTTAAGGCAGTTAGATCAGCACTACCTGCGTGGAGTACAACCTAAAATTTGGCTCTCTCAATAGAGTCAGGCATTCCACAGGCGGTAACCCTTTTGAACCAGAGGCAACTTCGGCCAGCAGCGGGCATTGAACATTCTGAAGATTTGCGTGATATCCACGTGAAGCCCTTCGTGAGTTTTTCAAAAACCATTCAAAATTTTGCGAAATCAAAACTTTTAATTTTTTTTAATTACAACTCCTATTCTGCACCTTTTTTGGAAATTTATTTCTTGTCTATCTGTTTTTTAATACTCCTGCTTTAATCTAAGACTATTGTCTAGGAATATTCTTGTTCTTCTAAATGTTCTTATGTTGCTTAAACTCCCTCAGCAGGATGTAGAAGACTTTTCATGCAAGGCAGAAGTGTTATAGCCAGGAATCCTTGAAGAGGTTTGAAGGAGAAGGTTCTCGGGAAAAGGTATACTGAGAAGGTTTCCGAGAAAACTCTGACAGTTAGAGATGGAGGGGCTGGCGTCATGACTACATTTCCTATAGCCTTAGCTGAATTCTGGCAACTGTCTCGAGTTAGACTTAATGAAGCTGGAGCTGCCACATTATAGCTCTCCAGCCTCTCAATCTTTCCTTCTGTTGATCTTTAATCCAGCATTTATATAATATTATAATCTTATATTTTCACAGTGTGATATTCTCAGTCTATCAATATTCGTTACATTCCTCGTACCTCTTTTGACCTTAGGCTATCGGACTTGTTCGCTTGCTCCGCAACTCGACTTCGTGTCTCTCGACCATACTGCAGTTATTCGGCCCTTGACCGCTCGCCAGTTGAATCATATCTGAGTATCCTTATTTAGTAGCTATAATCCTAAAAGTTATTCATACATTACCTTCGACAGACGGCGATCTCCAGTATTGCTAGCGCAAGCCGTAACAAGAAGTCTGTTCCGCTCTTGTTGGAAAATATACACTGTACAATATTTTATGGATATATATGATGATGTAAAGAAGACTTGATTTTTTACATCTACAGGAACATTGAACTTATATATACATCTATGAGAGAAATTCTCCTTAGTTTCATGTGCCTGATAAACCTAGTAATGACCAGCCACCTCTCATCTACCATGATGAGCCTAGCTACACTGTAGTACGTAAATACCCAAATGTATATGCGACAGTGGGCGCGATTGGCGCACTCGGGAGATGTGTAGAGAGAGTCGATCTTGTCGGGAACTTCAGACGAAACATACATTGGGTGAGTCCTAAATTCAAGAGTCAGAATTTCCAACAGATGGCTTAATAGATAAGTTGGGGGGCGCTCCTCGGACGGAGATGCTGAGAGAACGGAGTACGTTGGCCACTTAAAGAGCCTTCTCAGCTAGGATGCGGACATTCCATTTATGTGAGAGAGCCCGATCAAAATGGACCCTGTCTGTGGTAGGATCATATTTGGGCAGTATGAATTGTTCCATGTAATTGCGGTATTCAGGTTGTCGTTAGGACACTGACAGGGATCCGACATAGCTCATTAGCGAGGCGCTCGGAGTAGAGGGAGAAAGGGGAGATGGAAATGAGAAGGGAGAGAGACAACGTTTTTTGCATTTCGAGATACCAGTTAATTGAATTTATTCAACAACTTCGTGACGGACAGCTGACTTCTTGACGGCACCCAATTTGTATTACTTCGTATTTACCAACAGACCCCTAGCCAGCACGTGTAGGGTTTAGTGGGATCTTCCGAGACCCTTATATCTCTGTGGGAGACGGAAGGGGGTGACAGAGGGTCGCGGTCAGCCCGTTTTCGAGAAAATGATTGTAGCTACGATTTTGCTGGGTCGAAAGTAATACCTTCCCTTCCCCCCCCTAATCTACTGCCTCCGCCAGCGAGGGAGAGAGAGCCGTGCAGTTACTCAGGAGATTGGGCCCTGTCTCAAGGAGAGCAACATCATCTGCATAGCCGAATCTTTTCCTCTTCATTCCCACTTTGAAGAGTGGGGAAATGTAGAGCAAGAATAGGATGGGCGAGGCCGGTTGGCCTTGTGGAAGACCGCAATTTATATATTGTGGGGGGCCTGTTACTCCATCGAGACAGACGCACACCATACGGCGCGAGGCAAAAGATCCCACCCAGCGCACCAGTTTTCACGCCAACCTTGCTCTCGTAGACGGCGGACAAGTAGTCCCGGACATACGGCGTCGAAGGCTCCCTTGACATCTACGGTAAGCATACTGTCTGTAGAACCCTCATGAAGTGCCTTTCCTGCATCACGGATAAGGCAGGTAGTTATATCAACAGCCGATTTGCCTGGGTGTTAGATTGGAAGGCAGTTTGGGTAGAAGTGAGTAACAATAGAGAAGAGAATAATGGGAAGATAACTAATGAGGTACTTGAGGTCACTAAGAGAAACTAATGGTTTGACTGAAGAGAACTAATGGTATCTGAAAAACTAAAGGTGGCTAGAGATGATCTAAAGGTGTAGGTTATTAAAGAAGACTAAGTCTGAAAATCTCAGCTTCAGTAGGCTAAGCCCTTATTTACCTACATGATTTCTTTCCATTGTTCCATCATGACATAAGTCTTAACCTAATAATAAAGTACCCAGTGCCAAGAGCTGCGGCATTGTCATAGCCCCTTGGAAGAAGACTAGAAATAAATACTAAATTGAGAATAAAACAGGGAATATTTATAGTGGGAGAGCGCCGAGTTGTTACCTCGATACCACTTGTGCCGGAGAGTAGTCCAAGCCATTATTTTTGCAATAAGTCTCTCTAATTCTTTGCCTAGTATAGAAAGGAGTGCAATTAGGCGGCAAGATTGGGACGAAGAGAGGTCTATCTTGTTCGGCTTTTGAATCATCACCAGAATGGCCTTCCAGAAGCACTCAGGATGATGGCCAATCGAGAGGCACGCGTTGAACAGAGACAGTACTTGTTGTTCAATCAAAAGCCACGCATGCCGAATAATGGCTGTGGATATCCGTCTGCACCAGGAGCGGTGTTGCCAGCACGTAGCATGGAGCCTCGGATTTTCTCGGCCATAGGGGATGGGAAGGGCAGTGATTTTGAAGAAACCGTTGGAAAATCCACATGAATGTCAACAACTGCTGAGGTGTTTGTGAGTAGATTTTGCATAAGAACCTTTCTTTCTCCGTCAAGGCTCTGGACTGGAGGTTGCTTTGAGAAGCGGGCGTCTTTTGGAGGGCGTAAACGATAAGTTCCCAATGATTTGTGCCACTTGTTTACTCCATGTATCTCCTTAGCTGTGCGGACCTTCTCCAAATTAGTCTTGAAAAAACTGTCTTTTGCTATTTGTACTGTTTTACTATGGGCCTTTCTGTTGTAATGGAAATTATATAGAGAAGCTTAAGCTGCTAGGCTTGTATTTAATATCATTTAATGAAGCGAGTTGGGAGACTGAAGAGTCAGAAAACTATAGTGGAGATTTGTTGATTAAACCCACTTAGTATCAGAGAGCTATTTAATCTAATCATTACAGCTATTTGAAGGACAAGATTCACTTGTTTATGCTAGATAATTGGGAGGCAGGTCAATGTATGAGTCGTCATTAATGTGGCTAGTAATAATAGAACCTTATTACGTTCCGTATTAATGCGACTCTTAATTGCCAAGTAGCGCCAATTTCAACACTTTCGAGCGTCACAAATACCACTTTCAGTGGATAGAGACCACAGAGCTAATTTGTAACTCTTTCTAGCCTTTTCGCATGAATAGTTCGACCAGGGATTGCCATGCCCGGCACCTAGAGTGCGCTTTGTAGCACCACAATATGCGTCGTGTATAATTTGAGCGAGAACCTCCGCTGGATTATCTAGATCTTCACTTGAAGGGAGATGGGAAGAAGGTCTAGACCCCCACAGCCTAGTTCCAAGAGTTGCCTGAATAGAGTTTGGTCCAACGTGTCGGGTCGTAGCCGCCTTTGGGGGATCGAAGGGTTGGCCCAGCCTACAGTTGCAAATAGTGGCAAATGGTAAGTTATGGCTGCAAGGTGTCCAGAAATACCGGAGGAAACGTTGTTTACAGTAAGACTCGTGCCAAATACGAAGTCTAGAACGTTGCCTCGGTTATGGGTAGCTTTGTCAGTTGTAAATAGGAGAGCAAAGGGAACAGAATCCAGACACTCTACTAACTGCACGGCCCCATAAGAGGGGTCACGTCCTATTGAGGGCTGCCACCTGGGGTGATGTAGGTTCAAATCGTCTAGAATAAAGTAGTTTCTCGAGAGAGGAGCCGTAAAAGTAGCCATGAGAGCATTAGCCCCTTTACCCGCGCCAATCGAGCCTGGAGGCGCGTGGTATACGTTGACTAGTATCAGCGACTGTCAATTTGTCTGGGATAAGCGGAAAAATAATAGGTCAGAAGAGATATTTGTATATACTTATTCCGAGATTATTCCCACTCCCTTACGCATGTGGGATATTACTCAAGGGCGAAGAGCTGTCAAATCATCGATCGGAGAGAAAGATTTGAATGAGAGGTGGCGAGAAGTTGTGCGTCGGAAGAGGTGTCTGGAGATGTAGGGTTCCTGGTTTAGTACTACGTCAATCTGTTCTGTGTAGGCTTGGGCTAGTGCAATATCGTGTGCTGTGCGACTTCTACCGGTGTTTAGGCAGAGAATAGTCAAAGGCCTTGAGCATCTTCCCCGACGAATTGTGGAACTCATTACAGCTACATTTGGTCCTCGTTAAGATCTCCTTTGTCTACGAGTGATTCAAAGGGATTGCTCAATCGTACGCGCTTTGCTGCACTCGAGGATAAGGGGATGGATGAATGATTTGTTGATGGGGCCTGAGCGTAGGTTGCTGCAGTGGGTGTAAGAGAGACGTTTCAGATAGATAATATGACCGGATAGCAGTTATGATATACAGGTAGCTCGAATAAGCATGTAGTCTCCAACAGGTAATTATGATTCAAGAACGTCGTATGCGAAATCCCATCGGCAGTAAAGCGACTGGTTATACTCTAGATGAGACTGAACTGTAGCTTTCTCCCAACTCATACTACAGCTCAACGTTACATGAGATAAGCCCAAAACTCAAACTATGTGGTAACTAACCCATTACTTGCCCCACAAACATATACGCTATACTAGAAGACTAGTATTTGGCAGGGGATCATATTGATCTAGATGTATTCCCTAATAGTGGGGGCTTGAGCTAATGATAGAGTAGAGCTGTTGTTGTTGTTATTGGATGATGCCGATGAAATGTCTCTTGCAGGTCCTTTGACGCAGCCGGCTTCTGCTTGGGCGCAAAATCAAGCATCGGCACAAATTTTCCTTGTAGCGCTCACCTGAGACTTGGAGTTGGAAGTTGAAGAATGATCTAGGCGGAGTGTATAGTTTAGGGAGTCCGTAGGGTAGGGCCCTTTGCAATGTATGCAGCGCAGTAGTCAGACGTGGTCTCCAGTGGCCACACATAGGCTGCCGTGATTCTCTTTGGTATGTTGAGTAGAGCCACAGAGGCTAAATCGAGGAGCATCTGCACAGCTACGGCTGTTGTGCCACATCTGGTTCATTGAATTGATGTGACGCAACGAGGTGGTAGGCTGTTGTGATGTAATCGTCTTGGTAGAATGAAGATTTAGTTGGGAAAGAGACTGGGTTAATGTTAGCGTATGCTGACTAGGCGGAGCTTTATTTCTGGTATAAATATTCAATAATGGATACATTATGACGGTATGGATACAGTTAGAGAAGAGCAATATAATAAACTACAAACAGCTCTCTCGTCACTTCCAGACCTCATCAACGGCTTAACGTCCGCTCTCACGTGCATCTGAATATATCATCCTCTAGCTCATATCTATAATATAAGCGTATATAGGTCCTATAATCTAAAAGATAAAGAGCTCGAGGTAGACGGTTGTGCGACTCTGGGAAGCGGACTATCCAAGTCGTAGAAGGGGAGCGGAAGTTTTGATCGTTATCCTGGGAGGCCTGAATGGCTACCGGCGCCGCTCCTGCTGCAGCTTCCAGCGCCTCCGAAATAGCTTCGGAAGAGACTACTTGAAAATAGTATTGGAGGTTTTCATTTACGGTACCGTAATTACGAGGGACTTTCTCGATCCTGTAGACAGTCAATAGATATGCACGCTTAATTAGAGCGTTCCCGAAAACGCCTACAGAGTTAAATTTTCCGCCAGATCATCTCAGTGGCCTGTCCTTGGGCAGAGAGTGAAGACAGTATGTGTCGGCAGAGCATTGGAAAGCAATTTGTTGTGCTCCCCAAGTCTAGTCTTTAGGAGTGTCTGCAATGTATATCCCGAATAGCCGCGGAGTGCGCTATCATTTGGAAGGCGCACAAACAATCTATCGTCTGATTTTACCGCCTTGGGCGTTTTAGTTCTTTGATTATTCTTACCCGTAGAGGTTAGTTGTGATGTGTGTGTAACTGGAAAGATACTAAACCCACGTCTTGCCTCGCTTGAGTAGCTTGTAGGGTCAGATTTGGTTGAGTGGGGAGAGGAGGGCTAAGCTTTTTGAGGGGCCACACCCTGAACGCAGGCCTCGAAATGCTTGAAGATCACGAGAACAAGCTTGGGCTCTACCCATAGGCCTAGGAAAGGTATCAGTTATCATAATTGACGGTTTATCAGGAAGTAGAGGGCTGAGGGGTATCAAGATCGAGCCCTGGTGGATAGCATGTAGCGGCAGCTACTTCCATAGCTTCCGGCGTGTGGTACACGTCCATCGAGAAGATTATGCGACAGGTAGGTTGTAGCCGAAGTTGAGATTTAAATTTCGAAGAATGATGTTACGAGTGAATACGGTATGAATCGGTATATTGCGGGTATGGATAAAGAAATGTTTATTCGTGATGGGCACAAGCTCTGCACTCAAAGAGCTTGATACGGAGAAGACTAGCTTCCACGACAACTATATACGACGATACCTCAGTTTGAAATTTGAACTACTGATGTAGTGGGTGCTTTTACTGATACTTTTTGAGATCTGTGTGCTAGTGACTCACGCTTTCTTGAGCTGTTAATATCCATCAAAATGGAAATAAAAGAAATCTTTGGCTGCCCTAATATGTGTTACGGCGAGGGGTGGATAAGTTAGAGATCGCCGTCTGCTGTACGTATTCAAATAATGGTTAGGCGAATACCTACAAGGGAATATACTGGATAATGGGTCTGAAGGTTGAGACTAGAGGACGAGAGTTCGAGACGAGTGATATGACGTTTCTAGAGATGTAAGACTATGAAAGTATAAGATTGAGAAGCTGGAGAACTACTTCGTGGTAGCTCCAGCTTATTTAAGTACACTACAATAATCACTTAAATCCACCCGAGACCGGAACAAGATTCGATCATGACTCTAGCCGCCCTAACTCCAATTTGTTAGAGTTCCCCAGAGAATCTTCTCCTTGAACTCTTCGGAGCACCTTCTCCCTGAAACTTCTACTTGGAACTTCTTCAGGGATCCCTAGCCATAACACTATTCTCCCCGTTTACTGGGCGAAGTTCCTACGAGCGAGAATAATGCTTCGAAGGGTAACGGGCATAGAACTTATCAAGCGCTTCTAGATCTCTAACAAATTCAAAAGGCTCCCAGTTTGGTATTGGATCGCCCAGGTACTTAATCAAGAAAGGCTTGGATCCTCGTGGCTTTGCATCAAGTATTTCTTCAACCACATATTCGAATTCTCCATCAACAACAATTGGTGGGGGCACATTTTTGACCTGACCTGGTAACGGATGGGTTGCAGCTGGTTCGAGGAGTGAGACATGAAATACTGGATGAATTTTCATGGTAGATGGAAGTTTTAACTTATATGCATGATACGAAATATTTTTTAATATTTTAAGCGGGCCTAAGCGTTTGTGATCGAGTTTATTAGAGGGTCTAGTAGTGGAGATGTGTTTTCGAAGGAGCCATACTTTATCCCCTTTTTTGAGAATCGGTGGGGGAATACGACCCGAATTTGCACCTTCTGCTGATACATGCTGGGCATACTGTATTTCGGACCGGATAAAGTCCTGGAGTTGTTCAAGTTTTTGCTGGAATTTATTTAGCTCTACAGGTTTGTTGTGAGAGGACGAACGGGCGAAAATCTGGTAGCGAGGGTTAAAGCCATAGTTAGCAAAGAACGGTGACACTCGAGTTGAGGAAGAAATGGAGTTATTGTATGAGAACTCAGCCATGGAAAGGTAGTCATGCCAATTATCTTGTTGATAATTACAATATGCTCGAAGATACTATTCTAAGATAGCATTAACGCGTTCAGTTTGTCCATCTGTCTGTGGGTGAAATGTAGTGCTAAAGCGGAGCTTGATTGAGAGACATGAAGCCATTTCGCGAGATGAATTGGAGGTAAAGACCGGATCACGATCAGAAACAACTAACTCCGGAAGGCCATGCAAGCGGAAAATATTGTCTCGAAGAAGAATAGCCAGTTCCGAAGCTGAACAAGTAGTTTTTGTGGCAACAAAATGGCCCATTTTGGTAAGTCGATCCACAACCACCAGTAGCCCATCAAAACCCAATGAGGATGGAAGACCGGTTATAAAATCTAAGGATATAGATTCCCATCTTTTCTGCGGAATTTCAAGGGATTTGAGGTACCCATAAGGAGCGTGGCGTACTGGTTTGATTCGAGCACAAGTATCGCAATTTCGAATGTACTGATCTATCGAAGTTCGGATTTTTGGCCACAAGAAATGGCGCGAGACAAGTTCTAAAGTCTTTGCCCTGTCTGGATGACCCACAGCAGGCTGATCATGCGAGATTGAAATAGTTTTTGTACAGAGAGCCTCCGGTACATAGATCATTCCCGAGATGAGAAGTAATCCATTGTCGCTAATTTGGGATGCACCTAAATCGACGCAGGAATGACGAGTAGTTGGTGATTTGAGTGCCTTGATGATTCCTTGGCCAAACAAATCCGAGTCGAGAGAATTTTTAATCTCTTTAACAAAAGATTTATCAAAGATGAGTGCTTGGAACTTTTCCTTAGCCTCCAAAGACGAGCTATAGTGTGACAGACAAAAGGCAGATGTGTCTGTAAGTAATGCGGATATGGATCGACTGTGAATTTCAGTACGTGGAATGATTAGATTATCGCTTGAAATCGTTTCATTTTGAAGTAAATCTTCCGATCTGCGAGTCAGTGCATCAGCTCTTGAGTTTTTTACACCAGTACGAAATTCTAATAGGAAATCAACTTCCGCCAATTCTAAAGCCCATCTAGCCTGTTTACCATTCAAAATACGCTAAGTGGTTAGGGCAGTGAGGTTTTGATGATCTGTAATAATCCGAACGGGTGAAGCAAGATTGCAAACGTATTGTCGATACTCTTTTACGCTCTCTACAATTGCGAGAAGATCTTTATCTCCTACTGTGTAATTAATTTCAGCAGGGGTCATAGTTCGGGAGAAATAAGCAATTGAATGCAACTTTTTAATTAAGCTCGAGTCAGTATGAATTTGGGAGAGGACGGCTGAAATTACTTTGTTCGAAGCATCAGTTTCAAGGACTGTAGACAGCGAGGGGTCGAAATGTCGTAAGATTGGCTCCGAAATAAAGACTAGTTTCAGAGTGTTAAATGCCGACTGACATGCCGACGTCCACAAGAATCTGGTGTTTTTACGGGCGAGTTCAAATAGTGGGGCGGCGATGACGGAATACTTTCTGATAAATTTTCTATAGAAATTCGCGAATCCTAGGAATGACTGCACGCCCCGGACATTTGAAGGAGGTTTCCATTCTTGAATAGTTCTTATTTTTGATGGATCCATAGAGAGTCCTTTAGGTGAGACCACAAACCCCAAAAATGTTGTTGATTCAACACTAAACTCACATTTCTCAGGCTTACAGAATAGACCATACTCGCGAAGTTTACCTAGCACCTTAAGTACGTGCTCCTGGTGTTGTGTAGGAATTTCCGAGTAAATCAAGATATTGTCTAGATTGATGACGACAAATAGGTCGAGATATTCTCTTAAGACATCGTTGACAAACTGTTGGCAAGTGCCTGGAGCATTAGTCAATCCGAAAAGCATAACTTTATATTGATACAATCCATATCGCGTACGGAAGGCTGTTTTTGGTTTGTTGCTAGGCTTGATGCGGATCTGGTTGTAAGCTCCCCTCAGATCAAGTCTTGTGAATAAGCGCGCATCAAGAAGTTGTCTTAGGGAGTCATCAATCCTTGGCAAAAGATACACATTATTTCCGTGATAGCATTAAGAGCTCGATAGTCTACACAAAAACGAAGACCGCCATCAGGTTTTTTTACAAAAAGCACAGGGGATGCAAAGGAGGAGGTTGAAGGCTCAATGAATCCCTTCTCTAAGTTTTCTCGTAAGTATTCACGGAGAGCCTCTAGCTCCAAATTTGACATTGAATACAGGGGCCCGAGTGTGAGTTTCTTCTGCTTGTCGATAGGAATTTCATGATCAATATAACGATGCGGAGGAAGTATCTCTGCATTTTTGGACGAGATTACTGACAAGAATTCGTGGAACTGCGGCGGTATACTTTGACGGAGATTCATCATTTCCTCTTCCAGTGATATCTGAGGCATATCTAAATACTAGGAAATATCCTCAATAGAAACCGAGAATATTTGGTGGTTCCCACTTTTACTAATTCTTAGTAAAGAAGAAATTGAAACAGGTGCAATATCTATTGTATTACGCGAACCAGATGTGCCTGCTAAAGATTCTTCAGGAGAGGAACGCGAAGTCAAGGGGTGTAGATTTTGTGAGTTGTCAAGATTTATGCAATTGTGCTGACAATACACTGATGTGAAGGAAACATTGTTGCTACTCCATTTAATTTGGGGGTCATGTTTTGAAAACCATGACTTGCCGAGGATTATGTTATAACGAGCTATTCGAGTAACCTGAAAAGTTAACACCTCAAGATGTGTATTAATCTGGAGTCTTAAATCAATTTCATGGGTGATTTTGCCCGAAGAGGATTGTCTTCCATCAACTACTCGCACAATTTCTGGATGATTTTTCTTACGGGGAGTAAGGTTATTTTGTATGAGAAAAGCCTCATCAATAAAGGATGAGGAGGCCCTAGAGTCAATCATAGTAATTGCGTTAAGGTTATCAGAAAGGTATGAGGTGATTGTCATGGGTTTTTCGTTGCCAAGACCGAAAGTGTGAATTACTTGATTGGTGGTTTTGGGTTGAAACGGGATTGAGGGAAGCCGATGATGGGTTAAATCGGGCAAGGAGTCTACGCTGAGTGTGGTAAACGGGTTGGAACATGGGATAGCGACACGAGAAGGTACGAATGAAAAGCCTGTATTAAACTTATTGCTAGGAAAACGTCGCTTTTTACCTAGCATTTTTAGTTTTTTGGTATACTAGGATAATCTTGAACGAAAACTTCGGCCTCCTCCATTTCCGCGTTCATAACTCGTGATCCTGTTCCAGACGAGCGAGTTGCAAGAACCGAACATTTAGCCAAGATGTGGCCTGGCATTCCACAGTACATGCACAAATTATTAGCCCGAAGATAGGCTTTTCGAGCTGCCTTTACAGCTTCGGAGTTATCTAACTCCATTGGGTCACCACTTGAAAAAATTGTGGGATAGATTGACAGGGGTAGGCGTGACTGGATTATCGATTGGTTAGATGGAGATGAACCAGACCTCCTTTCTTGATTGCGCGCAAATATCTCATTATCCAATGAAATGCACTCAGATGCGAATTCCGGGAAAGTTATTGGCATATTTTTTCCCACAAGTGCATCTTTGAGGTTATCTTTAAGTCCTTTTCTAAAATAATGTATTTGGACCCTAGGCTCAGCCTAACCAAGCAAAGAAAACAGTGAGACTATCCTGGCGTGGTATGTTGCACATGAGGCTTTTTGTCGAAGCGCCTCTAGCTTCCTCTCTGAGGTAGCATATGCATCAGGGTCGTCGAAAGCAGCTCGAACAGACTTGTAGAA